TATATATATATATATATATATATATAAGCTTTCCGGGTTCATGTTGTCATTCTTTCTCGTACAAGATAGGCTGTTCTCCTATTGTTTTCTCTTCTGTAGGATGTTATGTCGGAACGATTCAAGGGAGGAGCTCAAGCTGGAGATTTCGATAATGACAGGGAAAATTCTTTTGCGACGGGATGGAATTCTCCGGCCACCCCTTCTCGACCTGGCAGACAAGTAGGCTATTTGGGTGCTACGTCAGGGCCTCTCAGGGAACGCGTCGAGATTGGGCAAAGCGGTGCTGGATTGCGAGACAAGAGTTGGTGCAACCAAAGTTTTACTTCTCCACTGGTAGTCAGTAAACCAGCTGGGAGCTGCGGTGTGGCTCGACACAGCTCAATGCGTGCATTGGCCGGTGATGGTCGAATGATTAATCATTTAAACAGAACGACCAGTGTGAGTTCACAGCTTATCTGGTTTGTCTGGAATTAATGGCATAAAAATTCACTACCCTATTTGCACGTCTTCTGAAATTTTATGTTATACTGCAGTTGCATTTTTAACCAATCGTTTCCTTTTTGAGGTAGATTGATCAAAATATCGTGCCTGTAACCGTGTCGTCATATCTTGCCATGCTACTCCATTCATGTGGCATCATGATCAGACAGTGCTTGGGAGGTCTGGATGGGGAAAAGTCGTTCATCGGTTACGTAACCTCGACTGAATGCAGTGGAACCCTTGGTCACACTGCTGCTTACCCTGGCGACTCCGTTAATCTAAATATGCTTGCACTTGCTATCGTGGAGGATTGCGAGTATAATATACTCTCTATATGCATACCCTCCTTGTAGTTCTCTCAAAACTACCATGTAAAATGGATGGGCACCTGTATTCGGAACATGTTTCACGACTCCTACTTCTGTCGTGCCACTGGCCTGCATCTGTAAAACTGATGTTTCCTCCGCGTTCGGGTTCAGGTTTGCTATCGGTTAATGTATCCAAGTGGAACTGAAACGGACGAGTAGCATCCGAATTCAGGTATTTTGCCAAGTGGATACTCTAGTTTCTTGTGTAAATACTTAACGACATGGTATTTTCGACATATTTGAGCTCATGGGTCCAATGTGGTTCATAGCTGGATTGAATTAGTTTTTCTGTGAAATACAACTTTTTCTCTGTATTGAACGATCACTTTTCGTTGGTCCAAAACTTTGGAGATACCCTGTTTCGCCTTGTGCCACAGTCTATTTTATGAAGCGTATTGTGATCCACTCTCTCAGGAGGTATCAAAAACTCGTCCGTTGCGCTCATGTAACCTACAACAGAGGATCTGGGTCTCTCTGATGTCTGCCTGTGACTACATGAAAAGGTGCAATGTGAACCATTATTTTGGACATTTTGTTGGTTAATTTGTCTGACGTGCGCTCACACAACCGATGTTTAGACATCAGTCGCCAGAAACCCTGAGCATCCTGTTCTCTCCGATCTCCAGGTTTTTGTGTTTCTTTTCGCGGTTGATATTTGTTAGATTTTAAGGCTATTTATATGGTTGTTCCGAATTAGCCGGGAATTTTCTTGGAACTGGTTACGAGTGTCTATAGACGGATGCCAGGTATACGACGAAGCCGTTACTCAACATCAGTTTTACGGACACCCTTTAACAAAGTCGCATAATTTGCGAAGCTGTCCCAAGCTTCACGTGTGACGAATTTCGTACCGTGATGTGAGCGAGATCCTTGGTTTTGAGGGTTTCAGGGCATCAGTAATCCATTTTTCCGTATAACTCGGTGTCAACTCCCATTTTACGGCTTCAAGCACTGGTATGGCAACTGTATGTTGGCGATACTTTACCCTGGAATGCTACTCACTTACTTCCCTCAAACTCTTCCTGCCTTAACAAACCCCCGTGCTTATCACTCAGCTTTTGTCATCCTTGTTTTTAGTTTCCACGTAGATTATCTTAGGGGATCTTTTAATATTTGCCATAGTCCCAATCCGTGCAGCGTCCGCACGGAGTTTCTGTTGTGTTTGTTCAGCAGTTAAGTACTGGCGCTGAGCTAAAGTTGTTGCTGTTTGGATGAGGACATTATGGTGAATTCGTCGGATTTTCGAGACCCTGTTACCAATAATAGCCTGAGGCTGTGACCAGAATTTTTCCCTCTTCCTATGGTACATTCGACCGTTTTTACCCTTATAAAGAGAGAGTGTGATGGCTTTAGGCTGCTTTATCTTTTTTGTTGCCTCTCTTTTGCCGTCACCACGAGGAGTTGCCTGCTACCTAACATTTGACGCATCTTTTCTCATTTTTGGTTCTTGCTAAGCCTGTCATATTTATTCTTCTTATCATCAATCTGCTTTCAGGTTCGCCAAAACAAAGATTCCGGCCTGCTTTCAAAAGCCTTAGGATATATGTTTGGATGGTCCTAAACGTGCATTCATCGGACACGGTTTCACCGCACCTGATTTCAACCCTAGCCGGATACTAAAATGATCTTCATCTGTATATCTGTTCACATAGGGCAATCTATGTTTATTGACTCCTCTTGATGGAAATTTGGAAAATATAGTCTTCTTGGCACATTTGTTATCGTACATTCACTCGCATGTGTCCTACAGTGGCTCAAAACGTTGATCTGTGGGTGACTCTGAGTGCACAGTGTTTGATTCCGAGGGGTATTTCATACGACAATAAGTCTCATCTGGCCCCATCGGATACCGTATTCGGTTCCCGTCTGTTTGTTCTTTGTTACGTGTAATCGGACTCCTCCATGTAGGCATTCCGTTGAATTTCACCTCCCCTGTTAGCCTCAAAGAAACCGTATCCCCACCACTGGTTCTAACCGCTTTGTTAGGTCATTAGGACAACGCCCATCCTCTTCCTATCCTGATATCCTTGTTGTGTCAACCGAAGGCACCAACACTCTCAAATTAGCTTTGGCTTTTCACTGTTAACCGCAAGCGTACTGGTTGGCGAGCATCCGTCCTTTCCAGCACTTTGCTGTGAGTAAAACTGACTATTTTCCGTTGTCTATTCCTCGTTGCTGTCCTATGCCCACATTTATTTGCGTCAATCTCGAAGCATACGACTCCCACTGAGGACCAGGCACCGTGATGAAAGCACTTTTCGACCTCATAATGCGTGCTTTGTTCGAGTGTTCATTGTGTGACTCAACATCTGTGCATCAGACGTTTAATCACCAAATGGTTAGCGCTTGCAGAAGTCTTCTTACCAAGCTACTCAATCATCTTCGATGGATTTTGTTTCGGAACATAATTACGTTCGCACCGGCGGCATATAATCCAAACCTGTAGGCTGTTCCTGCAATACAAACTGCTCAGCTAGCTAAGTAGCGGTTTTTGATATCATTCCCGTCTCCGTCTATTTTCTAGGCATTTATGTTGATATCCTCAATCTTCCTCAGGGAAAACATTGCAAATCAAAATGATCACCTGAGTATTACCTTTCGTTGTAGATTTAGTTATTCGTAGATCATATCTGCAACACTACTTTGCAACGCAAGCTTTGTCCATCTCTGAAGAAATGGCATTCGGCCATACACTGGCAGAAATGACATGCTTCCGAAGTCTACCCCGATTCAAAACATTACTTGATTGTACTCCATGTTCACTGGTATTTGGGACTTCGTTGAGCAAATCACTACGGGGCGTGTGGATATCATACGACAAGTGATTCGTGATTATTTGCGCACTGAAAGGCCAAGGAAATAAAGGTGGGAGTTTGGCATAACGTTTCTCGTGCTCAGCACTGGTTAGTAACAGTATGCTTGTAGCCTCGAGTATGAGTCCACTCTTGAGTTCGGTTAACCAGATTTGGAGTATAGGACACGCATCGACCTTCACTCTATAGTTCATTTCATTCATGTTGTCACAAGGTAGTTGAAGTAGTTTTCCTCGTCTTCTTGAAAGTGAGCTCAGTCATCAGGAAGCGAAGTTTCTGCCAAGGTGGCCCCCTAGAGGCAGGAGGCCCTACGGAAGTCAGTGGACGCCTCCGAAGAACGCTATTTAGAGATTATTGTACAGGCTTGTTAAATTTCTGGAAACTGCCTAGTAGAGTGCAAAATCAACGTAGTGATGAAATACTGAGGTTCTGAAGTTACGCTCATCATCAGGTTTGTGCAACCTCAAGCAGTGATGCATAGGATTTATGGTTGGCAAAAAAGTGATTCTCTTGTCTTATATAGACTCTGATCTGTAGAACGATCATCCCACACACCAAGGAGACTTTTGCCTTGTACACAATACAATTCAACCAACGCTTGAAACACGGTTCGAGATGCTTATCCAGGTATGACTCGCTGGACCCAGAGAGAGTGCGACCAAAACGGCAACGCGCACTAAAGTTGCCAATCTGGTGCGTATAGAGCGTCTGTAAAGCGTAGCTGATCGGTTGCGCACAGTGAGCATGACTGAATTGTCCACTATTTCGAGGCAAGCTTCAGATGTATTTGCATCCGATCTATGGGGCAGTTTTACAAAAAAAATTGCACGTTTGCCGCCCGGAACGGCGCCCTAAAGCAGGACTTGAAATTTCAAGGGATCGAGGATAGGTAAGCATAACATTTATCCGACCTCTGCCTGTCGACTTGGCATGGCAGCTAGGCACCGAAATGGTGCTACAGCTGAACGATTATTATTATATCATAACATTTATCCTGGTTACTGAGGCAAATGTGCTCTAATAAATTGTGTGTGATAGATGGCAGTGTCAGGACTGTTTACGTTCGAAAAAAAAACACCTCAACACCACAGGTGATTCGAATCAAGTGAGGGTGTAAGTTCACAAGTGATGCAGAGCTACTATGTATGTGACCTGTACGTCCTTACGGTTACATATGGTGCACTAGAGTGTTTGTCTGTTCCGAAAGTTGTTATTCTGCGAATGCTTTGTTGAACACATTGTAAAATGACGCGGTGGAGCGGAGCCCGCTGTTAATGGATCCCAATGTACAGCACAAACTGAAAGCATGCAGCGACATCATATCTGGAGACTTAACAAATCGTCGAACGGTTGTCAGCTGCTCGAATGAAAGGTCGCCTTAACCCGTGAGTCTGGGATAGTGAACAATCTGGGACAGCTGTTAGTTTGGTAGTGGAAGATCCCTAGAAGACATCGTGAGCTGTTCACTACATCTCCAATACGATTCAATATGTTGCCGTCAAAAACGAACAAACTGTTTTGTCTTGAATGCCGAAACCCATCAATAAAGCTAACCATCACTGATTAATTCTAGTGCTGATTTTCACCACGTGACCAGGGAGTGCCAAAACACCAAGAAAATGTTGTAAGTTGGAACTGTGGTCTCATCTTTGCTATGCACAGTAGAACCAAGGGTACGACCAAACGCACCAAAGCGACACTGTCACACGCCACAGTCGACTTGTTGGTGCTGGCTACATGTTATTCTCACTTCAAACGTCTTTGTACGATGGATGCCTGTGCGCACCCATCTACCACAGATTTTCCTTGCCTGCGGCTGTAGTAGCAGCAATATGAGTAGTAACAGTCCGCAAGATCCTCAGGTGGCAGCGAATCATTGGTATTAAAAGATGATATTGCACCGTAGATGATGATGATGATGCAGACCTTTGTAGCTCTTATTTGGGATACCCCTTGTGAAGATACCAATTAAATTTGCATTCACAGTTTTATCGAGTGCTGGTCATTTGATAGTGTTAGTGACGATGACAATGTCACTCAGCCGACCCCTTCAATGTATAGTTGTAATGCATTCCGAGGTAGGAACAATCGATACTCCAGTTTTGGGTTCAAGCGATAGACCTTCCGATCAATCGCTTCGCTCCTTAACCGCTGAACTATCTTGAGTCCTTCGGATGGTGTTGTCGATAGGCTGGCCCTCACGGTAAACGCCTGATCGCACTACGTATAAGCCATGTGGGTTTTGATGGCTAACTCAGACCTGAGGCGAATGTGGACGCAACGCGCTATGAGCAACCATAATTCACATGCAGAGTACTGGATCTCGTTGAACTATGGTCTTCGCCCTATCTCCCGACAATTTTCCCTGCAATCCTTTAGTGACAATGCTTTTGTCATTGTAGGACGGAAGTCTCCATGCCTCACGCTGCATCCGGACGTCAGCTTTTGCGGGGTATCTTGCGCGAAATCAAACATTCGTACAATGGTCAAATGGTAAGATCGGCCACGTTTTTATTTCCGATCATAATCATGCAGGTCTTCACAAAGACACCGGTCGTTCGGTTCATTTTTGACGAATTCCGTCATAATCAGATGACTGACGCGCAAAACTGTGCCCGGGAACACGAGGCGAGGCTTCTGGCGGAGACTTACCTTGATTATTTAAAGAATGTGAAAGAGCACCTGGTGAGTGATGGGTGTTATTATCCATGTTTGCAGCTAAAGACTGGTGTATCGTTACGATTCTCGAACACTGGAAAGTGAAATTGCGTGCAGCCCCCTCCCCTTTACGGCGTGGAGTCTCGCATATTTTGTCGAACAGCTGTTTCATTCACTTGTTCTTATGAGTAGTAAACCGTTCATCAGCCGGTCCCTTCACCTGTGTTCTCTTTATGACTTGCAATCGCTCCCATCTAAGTTGTTCCAGTGACTACCGAAGGAAGATGGGGTCACCATATTTTTTATGAATGATTTAACTAACAGTAGTTTGTGGTAGATACCCCCTTACTAGCAAGTACAGCTGCATAGCACACCACCGTACATTTCCGATGGTGACACGTATCACTGAAAACTCGAGACGAAGTAACCAAAACGCCTGACTTCACCATTTAACAAAAGTTGGGCTGCATCTTACTAGGTGGAAGATACCACCTGAAGTTTCTGTTCCGTGACTCCAGAGGGTGTGACGTAGTGGGAAATAAGTTTCCGTCTTATGAATGATGGTCTCCTATAGATGCAGCTAGACAAATTGATGAGCGAACCGGACGCCGGGACCGTTCCCCTTATCGCACAATACTAATTTAATCTATTTCAATCTATATCCGAATAGTTGGCTATGTATATTTTGGCGTTCCAAATTAGACCCTATGGTCACAATCAAATAGGCTACCTCAACCCTGCACAGTGAAATTTGAAACTGGAAGCCTCTCTCAGAGCATGTTATAGCACGCCCCTGCGCCTCTTGTACTCATGTGCATCAGATCAGCCGACTGTGGTCGGAATGTTAGCAATAAGCTTTACGTGTTCTTGTTGTTTCGGACAGCTGCACATGGGGTAAGGCGATGAGAAATTCCCACGAGATGTACACACTTAACCGTGGAGCTGAATATTTTATGCGATTGCGTTATAACTCCGGTAAATGAAACAGAATTGGCGTACTTAAAGTCCTGGAGCTACGTGAAGAATTGTCGAAGTTAAAATTATCACTTCAGAGACCATACAGCGTCGAGTTGCAAACTGGCGTGAGTGCTCAGAGTTGTTAGGCGGTGACTGAGAAACATCCTTGAACGACTGAACGAGAGCAGAGTAATCCCTCTTGTCACTGAATCATAAGCGAGAGATTCAGCTGAGTCCCAGGTGAGTCTCTCGGAAAATCAAATTCGTTCGCTAATTTCGTGCAATTTGGTCTCAAGGTTGACGGAAAATCAGTGACTGCACCCACTTGATGAGCCCAAGAAGGGCGAAACCGGTCGTGAGCTATCGAATAATCTTCAGCAATCTTATAAGTAGTGTATTACGTCTATATATGTAAGGACGAGTTCAGTGTTCACATTCTTTCTACCGCGTAGTTAAGAACCCCACATACACTCGAAAACAGTAGCACACGAGGCTTTCTGGGTCAGCAAAGTCATCACATATTTTTAAATAAGTAAATGCTTCACATAGTTGGTAATCCTAACTTTGTTTTACATAATTTTCAGAGATTAATAGAAAAATACAAATCAAGGGAAAAAACCACCGAAGAGGCTGCTGGGTTGGTGGGGCTTGAGCTCCCCGGAAAAGGCGGAGCGGAGGATCCCAAGGCCTGATCACTGTAACTCTTTGTCAATACATTTTGCTATTGTATTGAGCTGTATGTTGTTTGTGCCTTCGTAGATAGTGCCTATACAATAAACGAAGGAAGGAGTGACATTATGAATTGACGTTTTATCTGTCATGTGTTAGTAAGTTTCAACGTATTCGCCTTTATGTACCTATGTATCTTCCTCACCTTCAGGCAGCTTTTCTCTCCTAGCACGGCTACTCTGATTGATCGACACTAAAGACGGAGAGCACTGAACCAGAAGCTGGTTTCAACAGTGATTCTAACAGCTGGGTAGTAGTGTCTACGATGAAGGTTATCAAGGTAAACCGTAGCGTTTGAGCGTGTAGGCGATACCGCCCGGAAATAATTGAAGAGGAGCGTACAGCGTTCCCGTTTTGAGTCACGCTCAGCTTAATTTCGTACGATAAATAAAAACCTTTCAACGATGCCGAAGCCAATAACCATTTCCATTTTTATGGCTTCTATCTTCCACTTGCGAACTGTGGCTCTATCCGCTGCTTACTCGCCGGTCTAATTACCAACCTTCAGCACCATAGTTTCTGAGTATTGGTAACACGGACTGAACGTAGTACTGTGGCCGGGTTTTGTCGGTTCATGGTATGGTTTGCGGGAATGCAATGTTAATTTGCATTTTTTGTTACCGAACGTCAAGTAACAAAGCCTTCGTTTAAGCGAAGCTGGAAAGTCAACTGAGGGAGGCTCGGGTCAGATGATGTACCAGGAGGTAGCGAGCTAGATATCAGGGCTGAACCACACAGCCAAACAGCTTCAGAGTCCGAAGTGAGAAAGCTTGTCGCTTATAACCCACACTACCAACCACTAAAAGACGGCAAACAACTTTTGTGTTATTAGGACTACTTCTAGGCACTGTTTTAGTCTGAATCCAACTTTGTTGTGGATGTACGGCCTATAGCAAATATTGAGCTTAATTTCATAGTATTAATCATCGTTCAGCTGTAACGTCTTTCCGGTGCCTAGCTGCCATACCACTTGAGGGCGGGGATACGGCCAAGTTACCGGAGCCCACACAAGAGCTGTCAAGAAGCAAAGGTTGGTTCTGAACCGTGAACCTGCAGTTGGCGACTTAACCATTGAGCTATTTCGAACTCGAACCGAATTCCGCAAAATTTCGTACATTCATCTCTCCTATGAATGGGAAGCGGAAAAAGTCACTGTGCGCGTCTGGCAATCACCTACTCGGCACCAACTGGCCGTCCAATGTCCGCAACAACACCAGCGGTGTATCTACAAGTTCGAAAGATAATCATACAACAACACTCGTATAATGATAACGGTAACGCCTGAGCTCAGTTCTCGGTCTGATCCTCCCAAGAATAGCCTTTTTCAGCAAGAGAACCACCAAGGGGAGAGATGGCTCAGCGGTTAGAGCGTGAACTTACTGACCGAAAGGTCCATTGTTCGAACCCGACCTCTGTCTCTCGATTTCCCCTGTCTATGCTTGGGCAACGTGGCAGCATCCCAGCCCTCGTGATTCCTTCTGGTGGCGTGGAAGTTAAGCACCGAAAGGATGCTACAGCTGGATGGTTTTTTAGAACCATCAAGGGTACACAAAGAATACAAAACACCCAAAACCAGGTAGAAAACACATGTATAGCGCGTCATATTTCAAGTATGCGCGTCAACGACATTCTGGAAATTCAGACGCCTTCTGGAGGTGACATTGGTAACAGGCATTCAGCGGATGCTGGATACACACTGAGTACACACTTCGGCCAACCATGTGCGGGTTAGGCTTTTTGGCTGTCATATCCTGAATGCTTTTGCACTCACAACAGGAACCCCATTTTTAAAGGTGAAACCCGAAGTGAAAAGAAACATAACTTACCTATTTTAGCATCCCTGTAATATTTTTCCACCGGGTAGTCTTCGGTGAATCCCACACCACCAAGCCATTCCACTGACCGTGAAGCGACGGCGCCCGCCAAATTTGCAGTCAAGTACTTCACCATCGCCGCTTCCTTCTGAATAGGCATGTTGGCTTCCTTTTTCCTAGCTGTGCTGTACACGAATGCACGCGCAGCACCCAGTTGAGTGGCGAAATCTGCGACCTGATGTTGTATGGCCTGAGTGGACGGAGACGAGTGGGGTCCAAATAAATACCTTAAGGTAACGAACAAGTTCAAGAGGTAGGAAGCGCATTACGGTGGACTACTGACGGGATTCTGTTCTTTTTTGTGTTTGGAATTCGACAGTTTGCCGAAGATGGAACATAGGGACCATAACAGCGACTCAGAAAGTGTATTGATGGACAGGCTTCTAACCGGTGTCAGTCACATCACTTCCGAAGAGTATACAAATATATGAAGTCTGTTTGGTAGCAAGCTGATTGTGTCGGGAAGAAATTATCCCACAGTTCTGACTACAAGTTGCCCAAAGTATTGTTCGGTCGGTGGAGCTCGCTGCTGCTGTATTTCAGTAAAAGTCGATGTTGGACAAAACCACCACGAAAGTTTCGGAGCAAACGCTAACCGAGTGTGTTTCTATCTAAAGTGCAGGATACACAGTACACGCTTTCTAATCAGTGTTACGACGCTGGTGTTGCCGCGATGATGCGCACGGGTACTGTATGCATCTCTTTGTACCGGATACGGTTCTTGCGGATCATTGTAAAGCCTAAATTTCGGTATTTGTGGCAGGCCATTCACCAATGACGAAGCTTGCAGCCATTGCTGAAACGTTGCACCTAACCGTTGGAACGATTACCCATTCCGTGTGAATTCCTCTAAGAATGATGTCTGACGACCAAACACCTGAATTGGCCGAATGTTGTGGTTATGTTAGGTTGTACACTGTCGGGGGATCAAAAGTTCACACGTTTATTAGGGTACATAACCTGCCTGAAGTGATTTCGTAGCCGGAGATTTTAAGATTTAGATGGTGTCTCTCACCTGGAAGTCCCATATTCGCGAGCCGAATTGCTTGCGTTCACGAACATAATTCACCGCATGTTCGAAACATCCCTCTGCCAATCCCAGCATTTGCGCTGCGATTCCGATTCGACCTTCGTTCAGCATTTCGATTGCGTATCGATAGCCTAGGCCAACTTCTCCAAGCACGGCAGTTTCTGGGACGCGGACGTGATCAAAGTGGACCTGACAAGTGGAAGATGCCCGGAGGCCCAGTTTTCGCTCTTTCTTGCCAATTGTGAGCCCGGGAGAGTCTCGGGAGACAAGGAAGGTTGTGATACCTTTGTAGCCCTGAATAAAAAATGAATGGGGTGTGTTCATGATTGAGTGACGGTAATGGATTTCAGAATGACCTGTGCAAAAAGCGAACGAAGATGACACAAGCTAATCTTTCGTCAACAGACCCAATTCAAACACGGAGGATGAAAGGAATATTCATGAAACCAGGGTGCAAATGCGTCATCAGTATGATCAGATATTAGTTACTAGAAAAGACGCTTAGGAAGATGATATGGGTAGCGATCAGTTATTATATCCCTCTACTTCATAACGATGTCATCCCATAAAAACTTGGGTTGTAGTTACCGCAGAGGGGTTCGCATTCGCCATGACTAGAAACAGCCCTGCCTCCATGGAGTTGCTGATCCACATTTTCGAACCATTCAAGATAAAATCGGTCCCGTCACGCGTTGCACTCATCCGCATGGCGAACGCGTCCGAACCGGACTCGGCTTCAGATAAACAAAACGAACCAATCTAAAACAAACGAAGCAGAAGGTAGAAAAGAAAATTAACAAGCGTGACTGATGTTACCGTATCGGCTGTCAGACGTGGAAGCCACTGGTTACGCTGTTCCTCAGTACCGAGCCTCAACAACAACGTGATGATTAGCGTATTCTGAATATCTACCAAGATCGCCACACTCGGATCAACCCGAGCGATTTCCTCAATTGCGATGACGCTTGAGACAAAGTTCAGCTCACTACCACCGAAGGCTGCTGGAGCCTCTATTCCCATTAGCTAACGTGCATAGGACAGAATGATCGTGATTAAAGGAATCGGCATATACCCCGGCTTCAAATAAGGACGTTATCAGCTCTCGCTCCATATAACCTTGACGATCCATTTTGGAGACAACCGGGGCGATTTTTTCCTTGGCAAACTTGGAAACTAATCCAGAAATACAATCAATCACGAAATGGCGCTCACCCATGGATTGCATTAATTCTTCCTCCTCTGTAAGTATGTCAGGAATACCGATGCTTGTGCGTTCGTGGTGAGTCAGTCGGATGGAAAGTGGAACACGCGCTAGAACCCGGGGAACCTTAGAGGTGATGGATTTGAATATCATGGTTGGTCCCTCTGTAATACAAAGCTTCATGAAAGTAAACCTCGAATGCAGTATTGATTATTATTAGTGTTACAACCGATATGCCAACGAATGGAAAAAATTAGTGCCCGTAAATAACCACCCGTTTTCAGCTGCTAACAGCTTGCATCCATTTGGTTCGGAGAGTCTGAACGAACTACAGACTTTCGGGTTCAACCCTCCTGGACACTTGAGTGTATAGAGGCCCTTATAAAACACCATGCCCATGTGCATAACAAATGAACCCCGCAAATCAGCCGGTATCAACTTACACTGGCGCGTTCGGTGTGGACAGTGCCGCTCCTTGTATCCACATCTTTATATAGGGATGAAAATGGATGAAGTTTCACGGTCCTGGTAGTTGCTGCTCAGTCTGATCTCCATTATGTTAAGCTGAAGGAATGGTATATAACTCCTAATCAAGGTGTACGTGTTCTCGCTAACATCAGTGATTCCGGTTTAGGCACAACGTGCAGGACTCATCACTTGGGACAGCAATAAGGTAGCAGTGAAAACCGATACTCAACTACCACACAACCATGGAGGATGACCCTAGTAAGGGATCAAAAAAAGCGGAAGCAGGAATTTGTTGCGAGAATCATTGTTCTCAAGGTAAATGTCCAAGAACAAGCTAATTGTCTCGTGTGATACCAAAATAGATAAATCTGAACATCACCTTGGAGCAAGGCGCCACCAGCGAGATAAACCTGACGTGGCTTGCAGACTATCCAACAAAAAACTAGCCAGTAACAACAAATGAACATCAAATAGGCTGTCTCAATAAAAGGTGACAGCACGCTCGCCACTGTTGTTGATCAAGAACTGTCCTTGAGGGTTTTTAGTCACGCGTAAAATGAATGTGAACCCGCAAGTAGCTGCATTCGTTTTGCGTCGTTACGTTATAATCCGTTCTCCCTGAACCTCTTGCCAGCGACGATTTTCAGCGTAAAGCAGAGCTTTCACTGACAGGCGGTGGTCGCGCATACATGGTCCATGTCCAAACACCTTAACATGGCACGTTATGTCGTACTCGTACGGGTCACTTCATTACATTACAGAACACAGAGGGGATGAAATAACTGAACGTTTGGGGTCCTTTGATCGAAGGGGCCAATTTTACAGCCACAGGGTAAAGCCTGTCTCAAGGTGCTTTAACTAGTGACATTTATTTTTCACGCAACAGGTCAAGCACTTGGACAAATACTGCTCGTGCCGTGAGGATGTATGCACTGAATTCATTCGTCAGTATTAAATCACGGTCTATGCATGTGCCAAGATAAGGAAACCTATCAATAAACCCAAATCTCACATTCTGAAGTTCCAACGGGATTCGGCAATACTGAAGTGAAACATTTTCACTCTGAAGGTGCGAAATGCATGCCGAAACAGGAGAACGCTTCCCATATTCCATTCAGAGCCGTTTGCGCGGACGTCAGAAAACCAAGTAATGTTATTCGCATAGGCTAATTCTGTTTATCTTCCTCCAGATGATTTCGACACTCAAGTTTACTATCCCTTGGAGAGTACACTCCATGCTGGTGTTAGTGTCGACTTTCAGAAAAAGTGGAAAAAAGGACCCCATTAGTTGTAGACAAGATTTCTGGTGCTCATTATGGGCTCCAACACAACCAGGATAATTGGAATAAGTGGCAACGATAACATTCACGAACTTCTCTATTGGTCAATTATGTGGAGAGAAAACATGTCTACAGGGCTGAGCGCCCTCTGGAAGTAAGGAAAACCGTCACAGCTGATCAGCGGCATGTGTGAATGCTGCACCAGGACCCAACGTAACGTGAAGAGGTGATCAATGCATACCTAAACGCTTGAAATTCTGTTTAGTTCTGTCGGACTCACGCCTTGCACGATGAGTTCAGACGTTGCACGGTTACTGAAGGTAGATACTCGCTTGGCTGTAGCACATTTTCGGGGCCCATCTGCCATTTCAACGGAAGCTGGGATGGCTGGGATACTGCCAGATTGCCGAAGCCTAGACAGGAGTAGTCAAGCTGCTGCGGTCACGTTCGAACCACGAACTTTCCGGTTCGTAAGCTGGCTCCTTTACCACTGAGTTATCTCGAGCAATCACTTGTCGGGAATACTCAGGCCAGAATCCAAGACGGGTTCTCGTTGTACATTGAATTTCCGATGACGGTACCACTGACAGCCAGCCCACTCAGCCCCTTTTTGTGTCAGATGAGACCATTTTCGAAGATTCTCAGCTACACTAGCTTTCTCTATTTTCAGGGTCCTCTAGATCCACCAGACTATGCACGCAGGCTGGGCTTGAGGTGGAGTCTAAATTCTTCTGGCTTAATTATTTTCAGCGTTAGCGATGAATACGCCTCATATTGGGGACCGTGGAACCCAAAGCTCACTTGGTAACACTGAGAAACCACATGTCGTTTCCTGCCGTATAAGTGGGAGCGCTTAAGCCGTCCTAGTTACGACTGATGTCTCCGTCTAAAGTGAGTGGTACAGAAGGGTCGACAGCTAAGAACAGATCAACGTCATCGGTTGCTAATGGCTTTGACCCACCTGGCTCCATGACTGCTCAACAAGCGCTTGGGCATTGAATCGGTGTTACAACTGAATGGTTTCCACTGCTTTTTTACACGAACTTGTGGCTAGTGGGTGACTGGACACGTGTTAAAGTAGCACTCGCGGTAGTAAACGCCACCGCTCGACTTAGTTGTAACATCGTGGACCAAGTGGTCGTAAAGGTCTAACGTGACCACAACGGCCACTCTTCTCACTGATTTATGCTAGCGGGTAATAAACCCCTATCCAAAGACCTCTGTCGGAAACTTTTGTAGAACAAATTCTGCTATAATCGTGGGCGTCGTTTCTCGGCTTGTGCTGTCGCAACCAACTACAACACCGGTTGAGGCAGTAGCCGATGCAAATACCGTATTCATTCCAGAAAGGTTAGCACGGCGCTGACCTGAGTTGAAGCTCCAGAGAAGCTGAAGTCCCCTGGATGAGGTGACAGCTTTTTCGTGGTAAAAGATAACTACTGGCGCTACTGGCGATAAAATGGCATTTCGGGAAAATCGGAACCAGGGTGGGGCAGAAATCTGCAAATTCCCCAGTGGGGACCAAGGCGACCGCGTTTTCCCCCGGAAACCTACTTGCGATGCAGCCTTCGTGGAACGCACTATACCATCTAACACTTCTGATCCCGCTTCAACGCCCACATGTGGAATTTACATGGGTATCTGTTAGCACGCCAGGACCGGATAGGACATCGCACCTGCTGACGAGTAACTTCGGAACTGGTACGGTTTCCGTACCAGTTATCTGGAAATACACAACCGTTATCCCTGTTTTCAAGTCCGGGGACCGCCTAGCACTGGCCGGTTATAGAACAGTCGGTCTCAGCGACATACCATGAAAAGTGTTGTGAAACGTCCGGGAAAGAAGTTTTCTGAGGCACTTAGGTACTAAAAAACTAGTACTCCTCGGCAAAACGAGGAATACATGCGGCAAGATAGAGAACCACGTCTGTGTTACGAACAAGCTTATCTTTGTGGACTGCTTGGTCCACAAAAAATATGACGGTCTCATCTCGATTGCAATATTCTTCGGTTTTCCAAAAGTCCTCGATCAAGTTCCTTACTGTTAGGCAGGAATCCACGCGGATCCTTAGGCAGGAACGCGGATCCCACTATACCGCACGTCTTTAGGCGCTGCTACGGCCGAGAAGCCTGGCCCGCTCGAGGTTGGCCCAAAATTCATTCGCTTGCCGGTCCGGCATCAAGACGAGATCTGATTGGTCAACAATCTGGACCCAACAGCCAATCCTGACCCAGTATTGGCCAAATGCCGGTTACCAATGGAGCTCCAGAACCCGTCAGAAAGTTATAGCCGCTTACGCTATATATACGAAGCGCTGTACAACTGTTCCTGATTTCGTTTTGGGCGTTAATAGACCTTTTGCACCTTTGGTGTTTGTTTTGACGTGAACGCTAGCTTGGGAGGCTCAGACCGAGAACTAAGCTGAGGAAAATACAGTTACAACAATTGGCGAACGGGAACCCACGATGTCAATCGAATTTGATCAGCTCCGAGAATTATTGCAGCAGCAACAAAAGCAGTTTGAAGAAGCGCAACTGAAGCTCATTGAATCACTGACTCAGAAACTGCATATCCAGACAGCAGCAGTCAGTACTGGTGAGTCTTCTGTTTCCTCAACTGATGCAGCCGCGGCCTCAATTACGGAGTTCACATTTGACGCTCTTTCTGGTCACACTTTTGACTCCTGGTTCAAGCGGTACGAAGACATGTTCAAAACTGATTTTTCCAAATTTGACGATGGATGGAAAGTCAGACTATTGCTGCGAAAACTCGGCACACCGGAGCATGAACGGTTCACAAATTTCATTCTCCCCAAGCTGCCCCGCGACCTCAGCTTTGATGAAACGGTCAGAACACTGTCCCAGATATTCGGCGATCAAACATCACTGTTCAATATCCGCTACCAATGCCTTAAGTTGGCCAAGAATGATGATGATGATTTCATCACGTTTGCCGGTGTTGTCAATCGAGAATGCGAGCGCTTCAAGCTCAGCTCAATGACGGAGAATCAGTTTAAGTGCCTCATTTTTGTATCCGGTCTCCAGTCATCCCATGATGCTGACATCAGAACCCGGCTTCTTAACAGAATTGAACAGGATGCCGAAATGACGTTGCAGAGCCTCACCACTGAATGCCAACGCCTCATCAACCTGAAGCACGACACGGCTATGATCGGTCAGTCACCTGTGACCTCAAGCAGCTGTGTACAGGCAATCAACTACAGCGTGCCCAGGAAATCCGACAAGAAGCCCGATCGAAGACAGGGTAAGCCTCCCACGAGCTGCTGGCATTGCGGTGAGTGGCATTTTGCTCGTTATTGCCGGTTCAGGCGTCACAAATGTTCCAGGTGCAGTCGTCGCGGCCACAAAGAAGATTTGTGTCGATCTCAAAGATTGCAGCCACCCGCACACCACCG